GACTCCTTACACACACCAAGGACAGGCAGCAGCAGGCGACAGCAGGACAGTGGCTCCCACTTGCAAAGTGCTTCCGCTGGCCCAGAGTATCCCCACTGCCCTCTCCAACGTCGTCTTCAACCACAGCTCCCCTCTCAGGCCACATAGCCACAGTGCAGTGGTCCCTCAAACACAAGGGCTCCCCTCGGCGCTGGCCCTTTGCTCTCATGGGGCCCTCTGGCAGCTCTTCCTCGCCTCCCAGTCTTAGTGTAACCTCCCAGTCTCAGCCAAGCCTTACTGGGCACATGTTTTAATGCGGCAACCTGTGCCTCCCACAGCTCTGCCCGTGCGCTAGTCCTCGGCAGTGTCTAACCTGCCAGAGCTGGCTAACTGTAACACCTGGATAGATCACTTGGAGAGGAAGTAACAGAGTGCCGAGACGCCAGCAGGGGACACCTTACCTTATCGATGTAGAAGTCAACCTCGGAGGCCGACTGGAACTCGCCATCTAGGGCGGAGATGCCACTGGTCCACACCAGGTTCTTCATCTTGTGTTTGAAGACAAGCAACTGGATACGGAACTCCTGCTCGGTGAGGTCCAGGAAGCCGGCCAGCTTGGCCACGGGCATGGTGGTGTAGAGCTTGAGGAAGCTGCGGATGGTGGAGAGCTGGGCCTGCTGCTGCACTTCGTCAGAAAACACCTTCAGCTGCTGCAGGAAGGGCTCTTTGTGATAATTGGGGTGCACGTTGTCATAGTTGGGCACCACAGGCGACAGGAACTTGGGGCAGGAATAGCTGAAAAGTTCCTCATAGACCTGCGGGTCACCTTTCTGCATGCGCAGCATCTTGTCCCCGTACTTCTCCCGCAGCTGGAGGTGGATGCTCTCGTCAATCCGCATGGGGTACATGGTGAGCGCGATGGCCAGCAGCGCGTGCATCTGCTCGTTCTGTTTGTTAATCTGGGGGTGGAGAGGACATGAGCGCAGGGTCAAATGAGAGGGACTTTTGGGTCCCCCAAACCCACTGCCCACCCTCTCAGCTGCCCTCTGCACAAAGCTTTCACTTCTCCCGTCCCCTTGCACACAGCAGTCAGAACCTCCCCAGCCGCGTCCAAACCTCCCCTCACTCTCCTGGGCCAAGCCCTCCTCCCTGTCTCCTGGACTCCTCACTGGACTGTCTCAGCCTCTCCAGTCAGCCCCACATCACTGGCCAGCCAATCCTTTTCTACCATCCAGAATTGAATTGCGTGTCACTCGATGCTTGTGATCCCAGCTGGCAATGGCACAGTCTAACCCCGATCCACTCCTCTCCTGCCCCAGCCAGTGTGACCGTGTTGCTACTGTCACCACACTTCAAGACCAGAGCCCTCTGCCCTCGCTCTCCTTCCTGTGTGAAAACCACCCCCCAGCCCACACGTCCAGGGTGCCCCCTCCTGGCTAACTGCTGGGAAGCAGTGTCCACGCAGGAGTCTTTTTCTTCCCATTGCTGGGGATGGACTCGGGGGTTTGTGAACCTAGGGTGTTCCTCCATGAGCCACATTCCCAACCCCCCAACTCCAACTCTGTCAGGGCCCAGGGGAGGTCAGTGGTAGAGCACCTGCCCAGCAAGACAAACGCTGCATGCTCTTATACACATGCAGAAGCTAGAAGAGCTTATTTTATGGAAGTAGAGGGTGACTATGGCCACTAGAGAGCAGGAAGGGGAGGGGCAAGAGAGGAGGTGAAAGGATGGGCACCAAATAGGAGGAGAAGGCATTAGTATTTCCCAGCACAGTAGGAGAACTAGAGTTTACAATTTATTTATTAATTTATTTGGGGGATACTGAGAATTAATCCAGGGCCTCCTGCACCTCAGGAAAGCACTATACCAGTGTGGAACACCTCCAGTTGATGTTTTTTAAAGAACTAGAAGAAAGGATCTTGAAGGTTTCCAACACACACAAAAAGAGAAATATTTAAGGACACAAAAATGCAAATTACTCCAGTGTGATCACTACAAACGATATATTTGTGTATATATAGGTGCTGTATGA